CTGTCAAACGCAGAGGTATGCGAATCTCTAGGCCTGGTGCTACACATGGAAGCGCCAATCGGGCAGGAGAGCAGGACAACTGGCCACCAGGACGAATATGAACGTCCAGACGAAGAATACGATGCAGCTGGCCGTTATGTGTAGACGTTGCGACAGGTGCTGCTTTTTCGAGTGGCTGGATAGAATACGAACCGGGCTCCATGGTAGCCAGATATAGGGGCAAATTGAGACGAGCGAATGTAGGCTTTCCTGTGGGTTGTTGAAATAGCGGATGTTTATTTTAGAGGGTTTAAATAGCTAATGACCTAGAAGATTAATGGACTCTTGTACCAAATATGTCATTAGGGGTTTAGTTTAAAAATCTCTTTTTGCCACTGATAATACAAAAGTTTATTGCCCACAAACACCTGTAATAAGAACTGAAATTTGCATATATTATGAGGGACTCATATTTAATCCTCTTATAAAGAGTAAGCTTTACGCTACCATCAATCGTCATTAAGCTCAGCCGCAGAAAAGATATTCTCCTATAGAAGAGACTGAAATTTCTACCCTGATGGGTCTAATCAGGTTCTCAAAAGGGAATCGAATCCAGGGAGTGGGAATTAAAGTTTGAAAAGCGATCACCACTCTTTTACATCATATTTTTATAGAAGTGCCAACAAAGCAAGCTTATAGTCACTATTACAATCGACAACGTTACCTATATTAATAAAAAGTAGGTGAAGACCCACCATCGGTAGATCTTGAATTAGGACCTTCTCAGATGTAGCGAAACCTTGCGTCTTATATAATTATTTTGTCTTGTCTAAGTAAATGTTGATATGGATTTACAATAAGACAAAGTGGCTATCAAAGAGAAATTGAAACTACTCTGTCTTTGAAATTGTACGATCCATGGCTGACTTAAATTTAGAAGTAATTATCCGGGCTCTATGAAGTGTTGAATTTCAAACATCGGTGTAATAAATATGATCTGGTAAAGTATAATAATAACGATTTCATGATATTTTCCAATCCTGTCTCACTGAGATTTTTACTATAATTCCCTTTCTTACTTTTTCATTTAAACTAAAAACAAAGTAGAATTATGAAAGGATTTTTGATGAGACCCAAATGTTTCATATTCATATTTATATTTTACTCTAACTTTCCTGCAGAATGTCTGTTAAGTTGGAATAAGCCCTGGAATAAGTATATTTTAAATCGAATTGGGAACTTTGCAAGTTTTCCAATGTTGTTTTTTTTCTGGCCGATTGAATCTAGCAAAGATTTTTTTGGGATTCAAATCCCCATTATTGAAATATTTATGTTTGGGATATAATTTGCCTACATATTATAATATGAGTGATGCATGTATATGGCAATAAGCAATCAATTCTCTTGCTTTATTTACAGATCAGAAGTCAGCCTTGCTTGTAAATAAGGCAAGAGAATCGATTGCCTGTTGCCATTGTTCACTATTATTAATATCGTTATCATCCTTTCCCAAAATAGGCTTTACAAGATTAAGGGGCTAAAATATGTTAATTTCCGAACTTTCTTTAATCAAATAGTCTAGAAAAGGTCAGTGTCATACGCTCACCATGAAATGAGCATTGTATTACTCAAAATATCCTGTCTTGA